ACGGGAACAAATGAGGTCTAAATCGTGATCTATAAATTACTGATCCTGAAATTAAACTGTTCTTATTAATTAGGTTANTGAAGAAATAATTAAACGAATCACAGAAATGAAACAAGCTCTCACTTACAAAGGCCCTGGCAGAATGCTCTCAAAGAGAAGTAATTAAGCAACAGACCGCGGATTAAACAAGAAAGTAGGCGGATTATGACATTTGCATATAAATTTGTTTTTAATCATAAATCATGAACTCATTTCGTTTACCAGAAGCCGCACTTCAATTTATTGTTGCTGCCACTATAACAAACTGGCCCTTCCAATAAAATTGTTTACTCTTAGTTGGAGTCCCTTTTATACCATTTATGTATTTATTCATTGTCTCGTTATGTTATAAACATTGCTAATATTTAATATCAGAAATGTAAACGACCGCTGGGAGCCATAAATGTTTTAATATCGTATTACGAGAATTTCACCCCCTTTGTTTATCCATTAAACCATTGCGAACATCAACTCGTAAAACTTAATGTGTTGTTACAAATGTGTTAGTATAAACTTTACTTTTATAGTAAAAAATAAACGCATGTAATGTCAACAGTAATGAAAAAACTAAATAAGTTATAAAATTAATTTATGAACCATAAAATATGGTCTATGTGAAATTCTGTTAATACCCTTTACCACATGGGTGAAAAGTCTAAAAATTCATAAACATGAGTTTATTATTTTTAATGCGCCCTTACGTAGATTAGCTACTTCAGAAACTAATGAAAACCTGTTTGCTTTCTATTAATACAATTTTCTGGTTTTCTCGATTTTTATTCGTCGGTCAAGCACAATAGATTACAAACCATCAAAAATTCGTAGCTTTTAGTGGAAGGTTGATTTTCTACTAAGTTAGTTAGTTTACGCACTACTTCAACCCCCAAGGTCGAATCTAAGATCACAGAGATGCAGGGTGGTGAGACGATTTACTGTCTTCACTCACCCTGTGATAGTTCTCTGTCATTTCTACGTTCTCCAATTATCTAATACGATAGGCTAAGATTATTATTACGTTATTTGGTTATTAATTAACTATAGTTAAATTGTTGAATAGTCATTCAAAATTATATAATCCGTTTTCAAAATTAGATTAAAGTAGTTATATCCCATTTCTAAATATATTAAATTCGTTGCTGTATAAAATACCCGAGATAAAAATGACTCGAGTCTCCGTCTCACATTGAGTCCCTTTGGTGTCGCTGAAAAAGACTGTCGAGAGACTGACAAAAAAAACTGTTTAGCGTCTCTGAACGAGAGACTCGAATCACTCATAGAGAGATCCTCATTTCGTATCCAGTCTCTGAACTAGAGACTCGAATCTCTCAATAAGTGGTGTCTCGATAGACATGCTTAAAATTTTCTAAGTTCAACATATTTCAGAGATCCCAGTCTTTCTACGAGAGCTAGAGTCTCCCAATTTTTCAGTTTTATTCAGTCAGTCTCTCTGTGAGAGACTCGAATCTCTGAATTAACAATTTTATCGTTCGAGTCTCTCATACAGAGACTGTGAGAGATCCATAAAAGCACCTAAGCAATAACCGAGAGACTGTGAGAGACGCTCTCAGAGACGCTGAAAGAGTCTGAGAGACTGGAGAGAGACTGGAAATTTTTGTCTAGGGTAAATAAGTATTTATATCTCAAAATAAACTTAAATTCGCTTCTATATGATAGTACACAATGATTGAATTTTAAGCGTTTCGTGCGGATTTAGGTCGAAAAGTAAATAGAAAAATTATTCCACTAATGTAGGTATTTGAAACTTCAGTAAAACATTACGATGTTAACCTTCATCAAACCCCAAAAACCTTTTACGTTTGTTCAACCAGATTAAATTTCCTGTTCTCCAAATGGCGGTCGTGTGAATACATATTCAGAAGAAATGTTTTATATCGCTGGTCCAATACGTTATCTGAGTTTCGTGTAAGGGCTGTTGCTTTAGGCGCATTGAAGACTAATTACGAAGGGGTATTACAAAATGTAAAATATATGGTTTACCGGAGATGTTAGCGGATGTAGAGAGTATTTGAGAAAGCAAATAGACCGTGTGTCGTCGGCATACATGCAGGATGTTGGCGGTTTACTAAAGGAAGCTTGTTAATCAGATGTTGAGGAAGTGCACAGCGTCTGAATGTACGCGTAATAATGTAGACCACAATTGTCTAGCAACCGGATAGTTTGTGTAAGGATTGGGAAAGGAAGCGTCAAAGTAATGAGGTTGTATTTTTGAATCAGTACAGGGTGAAATTAAGGTAGTAATATGGAAATTAATAAAGAATATTAGGCAATGTATTTGTGAATTAATTTTACTCACTACACATAACCTCAAATTAATAAGGAAAAATTGTTGGTGCTGTCACATCTTTACCGGGAATCGAACCCAGGCTCCTGATTCTACAACCTATACTCTTAGGTAATGTTGAACCAACGAGACTTCGACCCTCGGATTGTAACACCTGGAGATGCGCATTGGGCGATGTCTATTTTGTGTCATTCACCGCGCATCGGTTGCGCGATGCAACGGTCGGAACGTTTGAGTGCGACGATTTCGTAGTCGGACCCCGAACCGTTAGGCTTGGTCGTTCGTTCTACGGACGAGAAGTTGCCCGACCGATTCACCGCGCATACTTTGCGCGGTGCAACGTATATAAATCATTTAAGTTCAGTTCTTTTTCGAGCTAAAAATTCGACGTACGCCGATTGGCTTGGCTATCATTTTCGTAATCAGTATAGTAGACGACTATAGAAACGGAATAAAAACATAAAGTTGGACTAAATAGTGCCAAAAATTCTCACACAAGCAACGATGTGTGAGCAGGGGCATTATCATGGCGCAAAAGCCAATCCCCACGAATCCGGGCGTTTTTGGCGGATTGCTTTGGGTAAATTGCGCATAATTTACAGGTAATATTCCTTATTGACCGTTCTACCCTGTAGCAAGAACTAATGATGCACTATGCCCCTGCAATTGTTGAAAACTGTAAGCAAAACCTTCACATTCGCGCTTTTTCCGGTCTTGGCTCGTGTGGCAGCTTCCATTGGGATGATTCAGCTTTGGTTTCCACGTTATAACTATAAACCCATGATTCATCACCAGTTATGACCCTCTGGAGCAAATTTGGGTCGTCGCCGACAGAGTCCAACAGCTCCTTAACAATGTTAAAGCGATGCTGTTTTTGGTCGAAATTGAG